CCAAACTTGGAACTAAGAAGTTTCTTTTTTGTGAGTTTCTTCGCATTTTGGTTGTTTTATATAACTGTCAGAAAGGCCAGACATCAGTAAACTTAAGTTCACCGGCCTCGTAAAATTGGGTCTTATTAATATAAATAGTTATAACTATTGCACCTACCAAGGGAAACTCTTAAGGTTTCTTAGGGAAACTCTTATGGTTTGTGTCTGGATGCCCCTCAAAGCATCATACAGTTATGAGGCGGGCTTTTGGAGTTTATGACTGATCTATGGTCCAGTGTTGGAGGTACGTGTGTGAGTGCTAAACCTGCCTTGAGGCGGGTAGTTTTGCATAAGTAAGGGAGAGAAAGAGGCTGCTTGTTCCCATTCCTCCCTTTTCCTCTTGTTCCTTTTGCTGTCTTCCACCACTACAAAGGGTTGCCCTCTGTCATGTGCCACCCTGCCTTGGAGCCAGCCAAGTATGGACTGAAACCTCCACAGACTATGAGCTAAATAAAACTTTCCTCCCTTAATTCTGGGTGTCAGCTATTTTGTCTCAGCAACAGGAGAAGAGTAACAAAGACAACCACATTAATAAATTCTATGACCCCAAATAAAGTCTCTATCTCAAAAGCAAAATTGGCACTTTGAGCAACAGAATTCTTTGTGATGAATACTCTGCAGTCAGAGCTATAGGCATCCCTGGTCACTACCTAGTAAATGACAGATGGCATTTCCCAGTCACTGTGATAATCAACACTGTTCCACAGGCTTCAAAATACCCTCATAATTAGGGTAAGTACTCACTCTATTGGCTGATGTGCTATAGGTCTGATATAATAATAGCCAACCACAGGATGGCTCAAGCAGCTCCTCTGTCAACGTAAGAATATCACAGTAAGAAAGCCTGTGGCCCTGAACGTCTTTCTTGGCACACTGTTGTGTCCGTGTGACCTGCCTGAACCACCAAAAGTCAAGTGATCCCCTGTAAGAACTGATGGAAAGGACAGGGAGCTAGATCATTTCCCTGAAACTCTAATCAGAAGATAGATGAGAGAGACAGAGAGAGATACATAGAGAAATACTTGTGAAAGATTACAAAAAGAAAACAATATTCAACTGAGCCTGAAACATGCTTGCAAATTTTGGAAACCTGCCCCAACCAGCTCCAGCTTTCCTCTACTGCCTCTATTGACAAAGAAAAAGACATGCATATTCAAAAGACAGGCAGACCGCTCCCCAGTATGGGTATCTTATTTTGCACCTAGAGTACTACAAATGCCAACTAGGATCCAAGCAGTCAGAGACTAACAACAGGCAACAGTGCATCTCTGATCTACAGTGACACCTCTTCACCCTGCTCTGCAAGAGTTGTCCCACCTGAGCCCTTGGTCTCCAGACTATGCAGGTTCTGTCTAATATTGTTCTTCCATCCAAGACCCATCACTGGCCCTGACAATTTTCTTACAATTGGAAGGCTATCAATTATACCTCCATCCATTAGACAATATCCTACACTATGGTAAGAGCTCTCAAAAGGGGTCTTGGCTTTGGGCTTTGAATAATACTAGCATAGGCTGCGAGTGCTGTGCTTTATTCCCACAACATTGATATATATCTATTAACCCTTGAACTGATAGAGTTTCCAAGTAGTGCAATTTCTACCACCTTACTGACCATGTAAAGGCCAGATATTTGTCCCCTTAGCCCTTGCAGGAGTATTGGAAACAAAAACCTCTTTATGGACTGAAAAGTTCCATGGGTTACACAAACTCTTCTAGGAAGAATAATCATTGTAGAAGAAGAGCTAAAGAGGGTAAGGCAAGATACTTACTCGAGAAGCAAGGCAGCCCTGCTCACAGGTATTATCAGAACAGTGGGTAATAAAGCTGCATCAGTTCATTGTGTACATATTTTGGGACAGAATAGGGTTGAACCTTCCTGACTACTAAGCAACAAGGAATTCATTCAGGCAACAAAAGATTGATGATGCTGGAAAGAATTATAATGGTCAGTAGTATGGGCTACTAGAATCTATTACAAACAAGAAACTGTTCCTAGGACAGAAGAATTTTTATCAAAGGCTAGAAATTAAGGACTAAAATAAAAGAGGACACGCTTCACTTTCAATGAAATTAGGGGCCAGGAATAATACATATGAAGGTATATAAGAATAAAAGAACAAAAGATGTACAGAGAAAAAGACTAGCTAGAGATGAAGGTCTGGAACCATACTTAAGAGAGAACATGGAAACAACAACAAAGACACTAACTGCGAGGGAAGTAGCACTCCTTACAGGTGGTGCCCAGTGACTATTCCATGGGCCTTGGGAATCGGACAGCTCTGAGGGTAAAATTAACATTATGTCTCCTAAAGCCATGGATAAAAATTTAAACTCTCTTCACTGCCACTAGAAAGGAAACATTACTGTATGTGATGTAACCAGCACAAAGACTGATGCCCTGGGCATAATTCCTGAGTGTTTCTCCCTTGCCATGCTCATGTCCATGGCAGGGGATTTCCAGTAACCTGGGGATGGCTC